TATTGGATGTTCCTTGAATTTTAAAATATAGAGATTCATACAATTAACGTGCAGATTCACTTTCCTTGGATAGGGGCGACGAGAGAAAATGAAAGCAGAAATGAGGCGTTCACCCAAAGAGATGTCAGAAAAGGTTCAGAGAGCATTTAATGGAATGAAAAAACACTGCAAAAATGCGGACCATGGCGGGCAGCAAACCCTCATCTCACGCCCATGAAGTGAGACCACTACCACTAGGTCACGAGGGCTCTTGATATCGAAGCGACGAGTTCGCATATCCAATTGATACTACTGTCGATTTCTGACAAGCGAATTCGGGCCCCCGGAACTTTTTAAGGAGAACCATTTTGCAGTTTTGAGATTTCCATTTTCTAAACAGCATCCAAAACGCTATCGATTTATCTGGGTCTATATTCAAAGTTCCAAGATAAGTAGGCTACCCTTCCCTGGTAAGCCAAGAATGACGATGAAATTTATATGGAATTCATTCGTTTGTCTACGTTATGCGCGACAGCAAGCTACAATCACATTCTCAAATGTCCCCTTTTGCAGCGATAGAGGGCCAGAGCTTCCTCGATTCCCTCGCATATTGTTGCAGGTATCCCTCCTCCATTCCTTCCCAGCCGTTCTTGAGCATTGCTTTCAAGCACTCCGAATTAGGTCTGCAAACTCGACAGGTTCACTTCTAATCAGGGACCATATGGAGGAAGCACATGATTTATTATGTGGAGAACAGCAGATCTGGGCATTTCTCTATGCTACTGAAGTCGAGCAGCTGGCATCAGCACCACTCTTGTACGAGCTTGGCTCTGGAATGGAGTACCCTTCTCTGGAGGAACCACGGGCGGTTATAGGAAGCGTAGTCAGATCAGTGCTTCAGTACGTCCTTCAATATGCTCCTCAGGTACATGTCTTTGTTAATTTTCAGGCGGCACCGAGGAAATCTCCGTTAGCTTACCATTGCCCGTGACTCCCTCAACAAACATCATTTTGCTGTTTTTATAACATCTTTTTCGCGGGGAATTGCCCCTGGATGGTTCTATCCAAAACGCTTCATTTTATTTGTTAATGATAGCATTTGTTGTGAAAATTTTCTCATCGTAAAAAACGACGTTTTACTCAAGGAAGTTAGCAGACTTCTTGCATGCGTATAGGGAAATGCTTCTTGCATTCCCCTATACGATAGTAATCGCAGTAAAGCTTCTGCTTGTTCATATTTACCTCTGATCGATAGCTTTGATGAGTCCTGCTCCGTCGCCGTTCTTTTGGTGGGTCAACCAGGGTCAAGATTGTCCCGCAGATGGATTATTATTCCTATCTATGGAAACACTGGCCTTCCCACTCCTTGCGGCATTGTCTCTGATTGTTCTGCTTCTCTTCTGTATCTTTTAGTAGCTTTTTGTACGGTCATCATTGAAATCACGAAAAATATTTTACTTTTACATGGCCAAAAGCGTATTGACGGGAACACCAAGCTGACAGCACCTCTGCTATCGGATGTTCCAAGGAAAAGTTTTCCTCCAGTCTCAAATACGGCTTGCAGCGGGCCATGCCCTCTCGTCTCGATCAGTCTGATGACGTCGTAATTGATTTCCTAGCTTGCATAATTAGATCTTCGATACGATGGAAGCGTTTGTGCGTTGAATGTACTGATCGCCATCTCAGCTCTCTCCTTTTGGGTAACCTGTTTTGGTCCTGAGATTTTGCAGCCTCCTCCGAAGGTTCCTACTCAACGCTGCCATATTGGGGGCTCCCTCAGGTTTAGGGGAATGAGGCCCATTACATAACTGTTTTTGGCATATTGGAACCAGCGAGTAGCTTGCCAGGCTCTTACATGGCTCTGGATTGTCTTCGGGTAGCTAGCCTGACTATACCAGCCTGGACGAGGGCTTTAATTTTGGAGGCGACTCCGAATCGCTCCCTGATACTTACCAGTCGCTCGAATGCAAGCTTTTGGCTGAGTGGGCAGGATACCAGCAGCACCCGCAGTCTCTCTACACATTTACGCGTGGATGCATCTGCTGGATATAGGAGATATATCAACTTAGCACAGCAGAAACAGGGAGACCGCTTCCTGAGTCTACCTGCGTCTCTAGTCAAGTACTGGTGACTTTTGGTCGACGATTTACTCCCCTATCCACTAGCTGGGGACGCCCTACGTAGCCACGTCGCTAACCAGCACGGATCGTTCAGCCAGGGAGAACCCTAAGTGAAGGAGATCCAAAGAAATGCTCTAGATATGTGTATCTAACAATAAGTCGAGACGTCAATGTGATGAACTACCTAGCTTCGGAGCTAAGCAGAAGGAAATTCACCGCGTGAAGGGCATTCGAAGAATATGAAGAGAGTAAAGAAGGCAAAAAACATACGGCTCCGCGCTCGCTTTTTCGACATTGTGGCCCTTCCTGCTTTGACTTATGCCTCAGAGATTTGAAATCAACGAAAGCAGAATGAACGTGCCGATCATCATCATTCAGCGTCGTGTGGAAAGGACAATGGTATGAATTTCCCGATAAATGTAAGTGCAGAGGGGAATCCAGAGTTCGAACCCCTTCGTGAAATCAGGGATGCTGTTTAATACGTCAAGAAATCAAAAATCAGATGGGCCCGGTACGTTTTGCCATATAGTGATGGCGGTTGGACCAGGCGGGTATTCACTGGATCTCTCAGGACGTCAAATGTATTGTAGGGTAGACCGGTTTAGGATGAAGACCAGCGAAAATGGACAATGGTTGGAATTAGTGTGCGAAGAAGCAAGATGGAGAAGATACAAAGTGATCTAGAAGAGGTATAAAGGATTGTATAAAAGAGTGAGAGGGGAGCAACAAACATTCACTCATCAGCGTGCTCTCTCGCCAACCAATTCCACAAACACCAGTATTGCCGCTAGCACGTGAAAGATATGCCATGCCTAGTGCCCTTCGAGGGAGGACGATCAAGGAATTCTCTGGCTCGCGACAGGGCGAATGGAGACGCTACTGGCGCCCGCTCCTGGAAATCAGTGATCAGCGGGAGGAGAAGTGTTGCACGTGATAGATATTTGTAAATAAAATCCCTTCACGGCCCTGTGTAAGCTGAACGTAGACAGGGTTGAACACTTTATGTTGTGTTGCCGTATGAAAGACACAGAGGGTTATCGATCCCTATTATCGGGAGAGGGACGTCATTAAAGTCGTTGATAAGCAAATTCAGGTGTGTCAGTTTAATGGTGAGAAGAATAGATCCACAGTTTTCCTCCAAGCTTTTTTTCGGTGTTTCTGTCTCTGCGGCAAATCAGTGTTTAATCTCTAATACCGTCTGTAGAAATTGGCTATGGATATAGAAGTTCAATCTTCTTCCGAGAAATAATTGTGGTTCAAAAGTGATTTTGCAATTTGAAGTTAATATTAGTGCTGCGAGTGCTGAATTTTTTAAGGTTATCGATATAGGCGAAGACAGTCAAGTACCAGAAGATTTCACTAATCAGGAAATAATATCTGGTATATGGTGGCGTCATTTAGTCGCAGGTGGAGTGGCTGGTTGTATGTCTCGATCGTGTACAGCTCCATTCGACAGACTCAAAGTTTTTATGCAGGTTTTCAATTCAATATATTTTGTCCCGACTTCGGAGCTTTTTCACTCAAATGATGTATAATTATGCCATTTCAGGTTCATTCTTCTAGAACAAACAATTTGGGTTTGTTGTCATGTCTACGATTGTTGCATGCAGAAGGGGGTGTGAAGTCGTTTTGGAGAGGGAATGGTATCAATGTTGTTAAAATTGCTCCAGAATCTGCAATCAAATTCATGGCATATGAGCAGGTGATTTTATTGTAAATCTTAGAAGTATATTTGAAACATTAAAACAAAACTGCGTGAGCCGCGATCGTTGTACAGAAACATATGTAGCGACCAGTTTACCAGTATACAATATGTGCGTGTGTTTATTCAGCGCATTTATTGGGCTGGACTGAAGTTCTTAGTCCTGAGTTTTTATCTCTTGAATCCTCACACCATCTAATCCTTTATCTCTGCCTTTAGAAACAAATCCTCGCTAGTCTGCTTTTTTTATGTGACATTTCCCCCATTCAAAATATTCTACTAAGCCAATGATTTGTTTGGTGTCTGTTATTTTTGTTTTTACACTTTTACCTCGTTTCGTGGTTTTGCAGCTTCTCTGACCCTTCGAGATCCATGGCTTTTCGGTGCGTCCCTCACGGACGGTCGTTTTTTCGCTGCACCGGACCATATGGGTTGCCACCGTCCCAGGAAACGCACAAACTAAGAACCACGACGAACTTAACCAGAGTTTTAACGCTTTACTGCTTGATAGTGACGAGGAGTTAGAAAAGTCGGCAGTTGATTGCGATGACGTCCCTCTTTGTCAATGATGATGTAGAGGAATCGTATGACGACGGACCAGAAGAACGTATTCTTAATAGGGCTGGCTTGTTGGTGCGAAGAAGTTTCCATCCATTGTTGTTCGATCAGAAATCTGCTACTGTAAAAATCGATGAAATTACCTGCAGCGAACTTTTCGACTTCTCTGAACGACGAGTTCCTCGCTTTAATGTGTAGGAAACCAATCGGTGCAGAGTCATCGAGTCAACAAAGTTCGGTTAGAGCGATGAACAAGAAGTGATGCAATTTTTGGAGCTGTGCTTTTATATGGGACTGGTGAAGATGCTGACAATGCGCCATAACTGTAAAGAAGTAAGGTACAACTCGCTGGCAAAAGAAAAAATGATCGCCAAACCCGTTGGAAAGCGACGGCGAAAAAACCATTATGGCTGCTAAAACGCATACGTTCTAACTCATGAAGAGAAGAAGACAGGAGAATTGTTGCTGGAGTTTATACCGAGTGTTCTGTCTGCGAAAAATTTGTTTGGTTGCGTCGTTTCAATTTGAATCATTGCATTCGTTAGTTGTTTGGATAACGTCTTTATCTTCTAACGTTTTCTTTGCCGACGGGAACAGTGTGTAAGTTAACGCCTAACTATTCTAACTATTTCGTTGATATTGAGAAAATTCGAAAAAATTATGACGTAAGCAAATGACAGGAAATTATTACCTGGCAGCCCATATACAGTGCGTTTCATAATTATAAGGTCACCCCAGATTTTTGCGATTCCGGAGAAAGCAGCCAGAATGGAATTTTTTGGCAAACACTGGTAGATTCCTCGTCACAATGTACCTCCGTACTCAAATTTTGGTCGCAATATCTTTCCCCTCAAATTTTTTACGAATTTTTAAAGATAGTGTCGGCTTTTGCACCGTTTCATAATTATAAGGTCACCCTGAGGAAGTAAATGATTTATCAATGTTAATGGCATATGTACAACAGTTAATAATCTATAGCTCCTCCTTG